GGTGAATTAGTATACCCTTGCAGAAAAATCTATATTTATTTCTCCAACAGATCTGGAATGCTATTGAATGTCATAGAAGAGAGCAACCATCTCCTTTCCCATCAGGTAATGCAGTTTGCCCTGGCACCACCAAGTCAACAACTCATTCCTCTCCCACTGATATCTGCTGTGCTTTCCACTTGTGCATGTTAAGTACACGACCATTTGCACCTAAAGCAGGCAGGATATAACTAGGTGCTTGAATGGAATGTGATAATGCTATGGTCAGGGCTGGTGGGGAGGGGCACCACTACCAGGCAGCAGGACTACTGTCCTGAAACACTAGGGACAGAAGGGAGAGCCAGCAAGCTGTTCTCAGTTAAACAAGTAAGTGTTCTGTAAAGATTCCCTCCTGGTGTGGGGCACACAGACATCTGCTCTTCCGTTTGCCCGATCCTGATGTGTACAGACCTCGGTAACAACACCCATATCTTAGGTGCTGTGTGAATTGGAGCTAATCCCAGGAAGGAGGACCACACAGGCTTCAGAGCCAGCAGGCCCAGCTTCATCCCTAAACAGCTGCATGACCCTCGGTAGTGTTCTCATTTTCCCGCCTCTTTCCTCATTGAAATGTGGCAATCACAGTAATTATGTTATTAGTAAATTAGAAAGTAACAGCAACACTGGTTGATAGTGGAAAGAATAGAAACCCAAAAGAAGGCAGCACAGGACCAGAACCCAGGTCTTGCTCATATGGATTGGAACTGATACGTGAGGAGGAATTGGGGACCCTCAGAAACTGAGGTCTCAAGTCATTTATTTTTTTTTTTAAAGATTTTTAAAGCATGCACACAGAGCTGGGGAACAGACCAGAGGTTCAGAGGTGGTGAGAGGACTCACCAGAGACGGAGTGGGGAGCAGAACAGGCAGATCTACTGAAACACTGCTGAGGAGAGCAGCAGGCAGGTTAGGAGAGGTCTGCCGCACCATGTGGGTCACCTCCGAGGTGGGTATCAAACTCATGCTGAAGTGGCGTTAGCTTCTCAGTGCTGTGCTTTAATCTGATGCGCCACCAGGGAGGGCCCTCAAATCAGTTTTTAAAGCTTTTTAAAAACTGTGTCATGGGTTAAAAGGATTAAAGAGCTGTTGCAGGCAGAGAGCAGAGTGTCCGGTACACTGTGGACTTTAAAGTAACCACAGTTGTGGTGATATTAATCGCTGCTATTGCGGAAGGCCCAGGGAAGGGAGATTTGGTGAAGACAACTGAGAAGCAGGCACCTGAAAGACCTGGAAGGGGGAAACATGGAGTGGTGGTGTGTCAGAAAAACCAAGGGTAAGTAATACCTAGAAGGAAGGAGATAAAGTAAAAGCAAGTCATCCAGACCCTCCCTGGTGGCGCAGCGGGTCAAAGCACAGCATTGAGAAGCGTAAGCCACTTCCGCATGAGTTCGATTCCTGCCTGCCCCGGAGGTGACCACATGGCGTGGCAGACCTCTCCTGACCCGCCCGCCCGCTGCTCCCCTCAGCAGTGTACTTCGTCGATCTGCCTGTTCTGCTCCCCACTCTGTCTCTGGTGAAGCCTCTCACCGCTCCTGAGCCTCTGGCCTGTACCCCAGTTCTGTATGAACAAATAAATAAATCTTAAAAAAAAAAAAAGCAAGTCATTCAATAGCTAGTTTCTAAGACCAGAGTCATTTGAATCTTATACGAACAAGACTGGAGAAAGGGAGGAGGGAATCTCAGAAACTCAAGTGGCAGCTAAAAGCCACAACTCCCAAAGTCTTCTTTCTGCTAATTCCCTTAGTTTAATCTGAATGTGCAGGTCCCATTTCACATAGGGAGAGAACAACTTTCCTGAAAAAAAAAAAAAAAAAAGGAAAATTCAGTGTGATTCAAGTTGAAAGAAAGGATCAGGTTTGCATCATTTTGGTAAAATTAAGATTTAGATGACTGTGAATTTACGCAACAGAGAAGGAGATGGGTAGGTGAGAACAGCAGAGGAATCTCAGAACAAATTTTCCAAGCAGTTGCCTGTATGAACTCCCAGACAAAGTCCAGTGAAAAGGAGGGCGGTGATAGGTGTTAACATTTATCTAGTTCTTAACCCGCCTCGTTCCAAAAAGATGTAACATTGTAAACTGTTAAACTGGATAAGGCACTCAACACCCATTTATAGAGTAAAATTGAGAAAAAGGTGAGTAGAAAGTGGAATGATATTCTGAGCTAGATGAATGGAAAGATCCTCTCCATAAGCAAATATAGAGATGGAGGAATAAAGACGATTAACTTACAAAAGCCAGGGAATGTTGGGGCCCTGTGGCTGTGGGGGCCTGAATAGAGCTGCCTTCAGTCTGGGGTTGGCTCTGGAGAAATGGGGGTTACCGAGGGCCCAGAAAGTGCTTCAGAGGGAAGCCAGAGTGGCCTCTGAGCCTTGGTCCCAGCCAGAGGGTCAGAGTGAGAGGGGCCTCCACTCCCCTCCTGGCCAGGCCCTGAAGGGAAGAGCCAGGGTGGGAGGGTGACACAGCGCACAGGGGACTGAGCCTCCACTCTCCTCCAAGAGGTGAGCATGGCTCTGGGCAGAGGTTATAAGGTCAGGTTGTGGGTCAGAGGTGGAGCAGGGGCCAGAGGCCAGGGAGGGGCTGAGGGTTGATTCTGGAAGGAGAGGCACTTCCAGGAGGCTTCTGGGGGTGGCAGCCCAGGGGAGGCTGCAGTGGGCCTCTTGCTGTGTCCGCTTCTGCTGCTCCCCGGAGCCCCAGGCTGCAGCCCCCTGTCCCTAGCTGAGCAGGCTGTCAGCTGCTAGCCTAGCTGGAGTCCACACAGCCCCCCCCCCCCCCCCGAGCCACACAGCCCAGGTGCCATGGGAGCCTCTGGGCTTGCAACTCTGAGCAGCTTCCTGTCAGTGTAGATGGCAGTGCCCTGCCTGGTCATTGTGCCCTCTTCCCCTGTCCTCGTTCCCCTCACAAACAGCTGTGTGCTTCCTTCCCTGGACCCACCATCTCCTCCTGAGGCACACCCTGTCCTCAACCCATGCAACACTTATTTCTTTCCCAATAAATTCCCTCAGAGCTGCATTCTTGTCACTCTACTCACTCACATCACCCCCAGCCCAAACCTTGTCCTGCTCACATGGATTGTAACTGATCATTAGGAGGAATTGGGGACCCTCAGAGACTGAAATACACTGCTGAGGGGAGCAGTGGGTGAAACAGGAGAGGTTTGCTGCACCATGTGCACCATGTGGGTCACCTCCCTGGCTGGGGATCCTGCTCCTGCTACAGTGGCTTGATGGTGCTGTCCTTAAACCCTGTGCCACCGGGAAGGCATCCACAAGTCACTTTTAACATCTCCAATCTGGAGCCAACAGATGGGGTAGAGCAAGTGTACAGGAGCATCTGTATTCTCTCTTCCTGATGAATGCCCTCTGTCCTAAAAGGCTGTGTGGATTTTCTGTTTCCCATGTTTCTTATCCCCCGCCCGCCCCTGTCCTGGTACCCAGATTGCTTTTCATCTTTCAGTGCCATTCCAATCCTGGGATGGCGCAAGGTCAGTTGGGAATCCCTGGGAGTCTTCTGGCATACAGTTAGAGTGAGGTTTGGAGGACGCTTAGCTGCCGGGGCAGCAGCTTTCTCTGTAATTAGGAAGGAGGGAGAGGAAAACGTCAGCTCAAAGGATAGTCCTGTCACTGTCCCTTCCTAGAATGAACAGAAATGGAGCCCTGAAAAAGTCCTTTCCTGACACTGGGCAGATTCTTGAAAGCTGATGTTACACCAAAGGACACATAACCAGAGTAAATCCTAGCATATTGTTATTTCAAGGTTGGCCAACATCAATGGTTGTTCTTATCAACATATAAAATAATGAAGTTATTTGATGAACGGCTTTATTCATTCTCCATTTGCTTGCCCCGACTCTGCCTGCCTCTGCCCCCATCAGGTCTGCATCAGTACAGAAAGCACTGGGACATTAACTAGTGGGTGGAATGAATTAACTATGACAGACCAGTTGTAATAAAGGGCTCTTTATTATATTCCTGCCAAGTCAGCTTCTCTTCCCCTCAGGTGTAAATGAAACTGATATCAACACCACAGAATTAATCCCTCTCCCATTAAGGTTCTTAAAAATTTATTTGCCTTCTGTATTCCAAAAAGCGCTACTATATGCAGCGGCTTATATATATATACTCATTGATAGAGAAGTTTACAACATGCATCTTTGGTGAAAAAAGTAGAGTGTAGCACAGCACTTCTATCTGATCACTTTTGTCTAAACATGTATGTGTCTGGGTACACGGGTATAGCGAAACACCTAGAAAATCTGATCTAAGGGCTGACTTGGTTATACATTGGTAGTGAATTTCAGGTAATCTGTACTTTAATTTTCATATTTTTCCTTTCATTTTTTGAGGTGTAACAAAGTTACATTCTTTTCACTGAGAATAAAATCATAAAGGAAATACACACACGGAAGAAGGTGGACGAGGAAGCATGAGTAGGGACAGGGATCAGGCCTCTCTCCACTTTGCTGGGATCCAACACCTTTTCTCCTTCCCCAGTGAAAGCCACTTAGTGAATTACTGCAGGGAGAAGCCTACCCAACCCCCACCTCTTTTCCACATCATCAGTCTCTGAAAACAGGTAAGGGTTCACTTAGGGCTGGGTTTAGTATCTTGGACTTTGTGACTTGGATGGGTCACCATGTTGACCTGGGACCTTCTTGATCCCTGCCTCCTCCTGTGTCACCTCTGTCAAGATAATGATCAGATTCTCAAACACCTGGGTCTTGCTCTCGTTGGCACAGGTTTTGAGTGGCCCTCCCCACTATAAGAGAAATAGTGAGTTGTGTATTTTTGTTTCTTGCTTCTAAAGATCTTCCTAGGACCATTATTTTTAATAATAGTTTATTTTTACATCATTTTGTGCATTTTCCCATCTCAGTTGTAATCCCTGTGGGCTTCCCATAACCAAATCACCCGTGTGTCATCACCATAGACCAGTGCACTTCCACTCCCCCCTTCATTTTTGATCCCACTCCCCACTCCACCCCCCGTAAAATGATAGTTGTTCATTATTATGGACCAATATTTTTATACCCAGAATCCCCACTGGTAGAAGGAGATGGAGCACCAGAACTGTTGGGGGCACTGATGACCAGTATTTACCCTGCATCTGAGGGTAGAGGCACCTAGAGATGGAAGTGGAGGGCCCTGAGAGATAGCAGGATCACATCTTCATCCAAGTCACCCACGGTATCATCTATGTCCACCATGTGATAGCATTGCTGATTGCTGTTAGCTGGGGCCCTTGAAATGCCACAAGGCTGGTTGCCCTCTCCGTTAGCTCAGACCTGTTGTAGTTCATAAAAGGGTCACTCCAATCATCTTCCTCCCTTAACATCTCAGTTAACTCCAGGAAATTGGGAGGAGGCTCCTGCTGTACTACACATCCTGAGACGACGCTTCACCTTGAAGTTCAGGTCCCACTCAGTTCAGCCCCTAAAAGCAGATGTTGTGGGCAAGTGTGGATTGTGTTTTTCCTCAGCTATGTCCCTGCCTGAATAGCACTCTGGAGCTACAGCTCTAAACGGATCAATAAAGGGGGGCTTTGTCCTCTTGTGCCCCTTGATGAGATGTCACACTGCTTTTCAAACTCTCCAAACACTAATTTCATCAGATGCAAGAAATCTGCCCCCTTTACATTGAGGCAGGCCTCCTAGAGCATACCCACCATCTTCCCCCAAACACCGCCCCTCCCCACTCAGCCCTCAGAGGGGCAGGTAAAGGGTTACATCAAGGGCTTGAGCTTTTTCTCTCCAGACATGCTCTGATCTAGCAGGACCCCACTGACTCAGCTCAAGCAGTTTTCTGTTTCTTCCCCTTGGGCTGGCACCAGCCTGCCCAGCAAAGAAAGGGGCCACGGAGGCAAGGGTTCATTCTGCCACCAGCTACTACCATGTGTGCAGTCAAGCCAACCAAGACTGAAGAGGGTTTTCTGAATGGAACAAGATGCTCAGACTCTTTAAGAGAAGACCAAACTGCAGGAGAAATCACCAAAGCAATCTTCCAGTTTCTGCCTTCCTTGTGTGTCAGTAGGAACTACAAGGCAAAGAGGAAAAGGTCAATAAGGACCCGGCAGCAGGGAGGCAGTCTGAAGTTGCTTTCTCTAGCTTCCCGAATACCCTGCAGTGTGTTACATAACTCGGCCAGTTCCCTAAAAGTCCCCTGCGGGAGAGCGGCAAGTACAACCTCTTGGAGCTAGCGGTGTCCCTGGGACATTTCTCAGAGCCACATCTACCCCCTCCGGCCAGTCCTCCAGGAGGAAGCGCTACTGTTACTTTGAATCAGAGGTGAAATAGTGGGTCGGGCGATTCGGGCTCTCAGAAGAGATCGCCAGGTTCAGTTCTAAGGAGGTTCGTGGTAAGGAATAAATTCTCCATGAAACTCATGGTCTCAAACACACCCTTTTCAAAAATTACCCCCGTTATTTCTCAGCTTCTTACAGGAGCTCGGGAACAAGTGTGCACCTTCCTTGCACTTCAAGCCCTGCAACAGGTCCTCAGGACGATGCTCACTTCCCGGTGGGCTCAACGGGGTCTACCTTGAGTTGCAGGTCCCAGTCTACCCAGCGTCGTCCAGACTGCGCTGTCGCGGAGAGGAGGGCGGGGCAGGGAAGAGTCAGAAGCAGCCAGCCGCATCCCTCATCTCGCACCCCACCACCCCTGCTTGTAGCCTGGGGAGTGGCTCCTCTTCCCACATTCTTAATACAAATCGAAGATGATCCCCCCCCCCCCCACACACACACATTCCAATCACCCTTTCTCCGGAAACCGTCGGTCTAGCAGGTCTTCAGTCAGGCGCACAGTTGGGGTTGCTCTTTGGTCTGCACAGAGAAAGAGAACAGGTGTGGGGCACGCACACCCACATATTTCTTCCTGCGAAGAGACGAAGAGATGCAAAAGGGTTCACGGCAGATAGCTGGCTATTTCCACCCCCTTGCTCCTAAGAAAGCGTCCCCCCGTCTCCGTTCGGTAGGATCATACCCATCTGGCTCTACCTCCGCCCTCAGCGCAGGCAGGTCACGGGTCTCTTTCACCCCTCGTCGTTTTGGACTTCCCCAGGGGGGGAGTAGCGGGGCCTTGCGGTGGCTCTTCCTCCTCTCCCGGCGCCCCGCGGTGCGCTCTGGGTCTTCGCGGGTGCTGGGCTGGTGGGCCGCGGCGGCTCGGGCATTGACCATTGCTGGGGCCGCCTTCCGGCCTCGAGGCCCTGCCAAGGGCAAGGATGACGTCTCCAGCCGCTAAGCGACCAGGGCCGCGAGAGGGAGCAGCTGGGCGCTGCAGCCCGGGAAGGGTAACCGAGCTGAGGCCGCGCGGTTCCCACGGCAGCGGCAGCCTACCCCGCCCGCCCCGCCGCCGCGTTTAGCCGCGGCCCATTGAGACAAAAGAGTGTGACGAGCGAGTCCGCGCGGCCAATCAGCTGGGCGCGGGGGCGGCTCCACTAGCAGCCCCCGGCCTCGAGGCCATTGCTGGCACCAGGGGGTGACTGGCTGCCGGGGGCTGCGGCACACAGGTGCGGGAGCCCGCGCCGTGTCAAGTGCATCTCCGACGAACGGACTCCGCGGATTGCATTTTGCTCGTGAGTTTCCTGATCCCTCGGCCCCCCTTCCCCTTGCTATCCTTGAACCCCCTCTCCTTCCGCCTGGGCTCTCCTTTGCCCTTTGAGACCGGATGCCTTAAACACGAGGTGGGACAGAAATGAAGTGAACAATAAGAGTTCCTCACCTTGGTAGAGGGGGGATTGGGGGACAAGAACGTTTCTCGAGCGCTTTGTGTGTGCAGATGCGCTTGCACAGACCTCTCAGTTCTTCTCGGCAGCCATAGGGAGGGGTGTTCACACACCCATTTAACAGAGAGGGTACTTAAGCATTTGAGGCAGTATGGGTAGGAAGTGCAGCGCTTACGAGCACACCCCCAAGTCTCCGGGCCTGCTTTCCAAAGCTGCCCCTAGTCAATACTCCTCTCTTCTGTCTGATTGAGGGGGTGTGGAGAACTGCCAAACTGGAGATGGGTGGACCCAATGGGACTTGTATAGAATTAGTGAGCAAAGACTGTTATCGCCACTGGAAAGAGACAAACGGATAGAGATAGGCTCGCCTGGCGCCCGCATGGCCCAGCAAATAAATATCGGCATCCAGTCTTGTACCCAAGCCTCTTCTCCAAATGCCAAGAATTTGCCGCGCTGAGCTGCTCAGAGAGAGCTCGCGCCTAGGTGGTCTCAGATGTCTCCGGCAGCAGTCTGGGTGTGATGGCCAAGCCGAGGGAGCCAAGGGGGAGGCAGCTAGAGGAGGGATGGGGGAAGGGGTAGGCAACTTTTATGGTACACGCTGTGCAGAAGAGGAAACTGGGGCACTTCTCTTTTTTACACTATGTCTGTTTATGTTTTTAAAATCTAAGACATGTTTACAGCTTACTACCTGAAGGAGACAAGGCTAACAGAGATAAAATGACTTGCCTGAAATTACAAGTTGGAGCCAACATGTGGAGCAATTCTCTCTGCTGCCTCTGCCAGACTATTAACCAAAGTTAGGTGTTGCTAGGCTGGCTGTCTCCGAATGATTTTGGAGAGTTTGTTAGAAATGCAGCTTCCTGAGCCCCACCTCTAGGGCATTCTGATTTGCTGGGACCAGGCTGGAGAGAGTGACATATTTTTTTAACCAGCACTGTAGTTAATTCTGGACAGTAGGGAGGTTTGTGAACCGCTGTTCAAAACAGCCCATCTTGCTCTGGGTAGCAAGTGAAATGGGCTTGCTGCCAATGCCTCTGTCCACAACCTGTTGGTCATGAAATCTTAACTCCAGAGCAGAAGTTCTTACCCAGGGTACTTCTGAAATTGTTGGCAAATAATTTGAACTCTACATTTATTTGGTATTCCAATTTGTAAAAGACATCTGGGACCCAAAATGGCTAAGAAAACCCTCTGTACAAGCTTTCCTTGTGGTCTCCTCCTCCTTTAAACTTGTACTTAAGGAAGGAGTGTGAGAAATGAAACACAATTTGAACTAACTCTCAACCACAGCTCTCTACCGCTGATGTAGTGCTTTCATTTCCTGGCTCTAGGACAGGTTGCTAGGTTGCCCTTCTGTGAGCTCTTGAGGGGACCTCTCCTTTGGTGGATTTGGCATCCCTGGCCTCAGAGAAGGGGCAACTCCATGGAAACGGCATGCAGAGCTGTCCAGAGTGAATGGGCCATGAAGCCAGTGACTGGGAAACCTGCTCTCTTCCTGGACTTCCGGTTCTTGGAGAGCAGGTCTCACTTCCCTTGCATGGACTGTGGCTAGGAGGTCCCTGCAGCTATTGCTCTTGACTCCTGGTGCTTGGAAGTCAGTGCACAGCCTGATGTTCATCTATCGACTTGGGTTCTTCAGCCTGCAAGGTCCTTCCCTGCACCCTTTCTACCTTATTTACCTCAGTGCCCAGAGTTCCTTGGAGGAGTCAGTCTAGATTTGGAGCAGTGGCCCCTGCATCTGAGCACTGTGGCCTTCCTCTTGTGGATGGGACAGTGCGTGAGGGGGTAGGATGTGATGGAGATGAGAGAGGCAGCAGGAGGGAGAAGGCGCCTCATCCGCAGTCCACAGTCCAGGGCGGTAACTGGCACAGCTCTTGGGTTTCCTACGGACTTCTATCTTCTACTCCCTGGCACCATGGCGTCTGATCCTGGTCTCCACACTCTTGTTCTGTGTTTAACTTGGCTTCTTGTCAAATTAGGTGATCTATAGCTGGAGCTAGTGGGAGTGTGGTGGGATCAAGTAGGGCAAAGAATAGATCTTGAATGCACTAACAAAGAAATGTGCTGCGTAAAGATGTCTGGGTCCACCCATTCGGCCAAAGCGAGGGGCTGAGAGGACCTGCTGAACTGACTCCGATTAGATTCAGAGCGTCCCTCACCTCTGGCCTGCTGTGGGGGGGGTTGTTCCAATTCCTGGCTTAATAAGACCATTTTCCAATTTTAAGAGAGAAACTTTAAACTTAAAAAAATAAGCGATAAAGAAAACTTTCACTTGAAACAATGACAGCTGTTCTTCGGCTGCCTGCATTCTCTGCCAGGAACTTTCCATTCGGTTCCTCATTTTGGCCTCAGCCACCCTGTTAAGATAAGCATTGCTACCCCATTTTGCAGATAGAGAAACTGAATTTCAGGGCCGTGAAGGAACTTGTCTGAGGCTGTACTTACCAGTGGTGGCCCTGGGACACCAACCCAGGGTTGGGTTGTCAAACCTCAAAGCCCTCTTCCCTGCTACCTGCCAAATAAACCACTTAAAATGCACTCTGTAGATGACCCAGTGCGTTAGCCTGATAGCGGCATTTTGAACAATGTACTTGTATTCTTACCTTTATTCCTGGGATCTCATTATTTTTAAATGCAACTAATAGAACCGACAGAGCAACTGCTGAACACCTGGTGGTCTTTGTCTAATATGTAACCATCATCACAGTCACTTTATAGTCAAGGATACCGAGGCACAGAGAAGTAAAGGAACTTGGCCGAGGACATAAAGCTAGGAAGTATCATGAGGACTTTCAAACCCAGGGCCGTCTGACTGCACAGCCTGGTCTTTATACTATAATGCACTGCAGTTGGGAAAATAAACATGGCCTCCCTCTGTCAGCAGGCTTCTCTGTCAGCATAGCTCTATCTCCTGTCCTCCTCCCATGTCCAGCCCCACTCACCAATCACACTGTTAGGCCTTTGTGCTTTAGGCTTCTCCTCAGCCCAAAATTCCTGTCTTCACTCCTCTACCTAACAAGAGTCAACTCATCCATTAAGGATCAAGGCAGATGCACCTGCTCAGAGAAACATGATTTAAAGTATGAATATTATTTTATTTAAAAATGAATGCAAGACCGCTTGCCTGCTGCTCCCCTCAGCCTTGATTTCAGTAGACCCACCTGTTCTGCTCCTCACTCTGTCTCTGATGAATCATCTCACCCCCCTTCCACACCTCTGGCCTACGCCCCAGTTCTTATATGCATACCTACATAAAATAAAATGAATGCAGCCTCCCAAACATATCTATACATATGCATATACATGTACACATACATGTACACGCTTGTATAAAAGCATCAACAACTTTTATACTGTAACAATTCAATAGCATTTCCATAGATAGCAGTGAGCGGCACTGTTTGGGGGGCTTTGTGCCAGGTGGAATAAATGACTCATGACTGTCTGCTCTGACCTTGATGAAAGTAGCCTTGATTTTGCCGTCCAGGATAAATTAGCTCATTGTTGACCTGTCTCCACGCTAGATCCCCAACACCTGGATGGTAGCCCCAAGTCCGATTCATCTCTAGCTCCACAGTGGTCTGCCCACAGCGATGTAGGAAAAGAACAACTCTTTGTGAACTGACCAAAGGAATAGCTGAGGGCTACCCTCAGAGCTCTGGGCCCTGGGGTGCCCAGGCTGTCCATCTAGCCAGGGAAGTCTGGGATCCCCTGGGCTCATTTACTAGCTGCGAACATAAGAGGCATGTCACAGAACACAGGGGTTAGCTGCTCAGAGCCAAGTCCAGACCGTGCTGTGGTCTCTTCCTTCGGCATTCATGTTAGGCAGCCGGGCTGTCCAGGATTGTTGCTATGACACCTTTGCATTCACAGGAGAAAGGTCTTCCCTGCCTCCATTTGAACATGGGATTCCTTCCACCCTCCCTCATCACCTGGCTCTGGCCGGCCTGAGAATGCCCTGCAGGAGCTTGAACGTTTCGGAGACAGTGGATGAGGCTGGGAAACAACTTTTTAAAATAATACTTTTGATTGAGGCCACTGTGCCATCATGCATGTACAACCATTTGATCTCATTTATGGTATGAATCTTTGCAATGGCCTTTTGAGGGAGGTCTGTTGTCCCTACCTTGTAGCTGAAGAAACCAAGACTGAATGAAGTAACTTACCTAAGTTAGCATAAGTGGCAAGTGGTGGAAGCAGAATTCATTCTCAGACTTCTCTGCCCCCATTTCTTAAAAACATTTATTTAGGGGCCCTCCCTGGTGGTGCAGCAGGTTAAAGCACAGCACTGAGAAGCTTGAGCCACTTCCGCATGAGTTCAATTCCCGCCTGCCTTGGAGGAGATCCACATGGCGTGGCAGACCCCTCCTGGCCTGCCCGCTGCTCCCCTCAGCAGTGTACTTCCTTGATCTGCCTGTTCTGTTCCCCACTCTGTCTCTGGTGAATCCTCTCACCCTCCGCATCTCTGACCTGTACCCCAGCTCTATATGAATAAATAAATAAATCTTTAAAAAAATAAAAAAAATTATTTATGCATAAAAGAACTGGGGTACAGGCCAGAGGTGTGGGGAGTGAGAGGATTCACTAGAGGCAGAGTGAGGAACAGAACAGGCAGATGGACTGAAACACACTGCTGAGGGGAGGCAGGAGAGGTCTGCTGTGCCATGTGGGTCACCTCCCTGGCCGAGGATCAAACTCAGTGCTGCAATGGCTGCAGATAGCTTCATAGTGCTGTGCTTTAGACCTTGTGCCACCAGGGAGAGCCCCAAAGCTGGGCATCTTAATAGAAAAATACATGGGAGAGAAAGCCAAAGGGAGTCCTCACTTCCCCTCCCCCCGCCATAAGATAGGAAGAATAATTTTAATTTATTATTCACCTTTAGTTTCAAAAAATGTTTGGCAAAAGTGGAAGGACTCTGGAGTGTGGGGAAAAGCACAGTTCCTCTCTTAAAGATTGACCCACCCACTTCCCATAAGCCCCCTGTGATGTGCATGTAATGAAGATGCCTGGTGCAATCCACTCTGCTCATTTTTATACCTCAGATGGATGAGGCTACTAGAGGTCAGTGGATTTTTAAAGGTTACACAGGAAGTTGACAACAAAACTGGCGCTTAAAACGCGAGTTTCCCAAATCCTACCCGTTCTCTTTCTGCTAAGTCAGCCTGCCTAAAGTAGTCCCTCAATACACATTTACAGGCTATTCAGGAAAATGGGAAGGAGGAGAGGAAATGGAGCATTAATGTGCTCTGAGATAGACAAGGGGACAAACAACGCCCTCACAGCCCATCCGAACTTAGGGTACAAGTCAAAGTTGGGGAGAAGTCCTTTGGTAGAAGAGCCGAGGGATATTGGGGTTCCCATGGCTGTGGGGGCCTGAATAGAGCTGCCTTCCGTCTGGGGTTGGCTCTGGAGAAATGGGGGTTACTGAGGGCCCAGAAAGTGCTTCAGAGGGAAGCCAGATGGCCTCTGAGCCTTGGTCCCAGCCAGAGGGTCAGAGTGTCAGAGTGAGAGGGGCCTCCACTCCCCTCCTGGCCAGGCCCTGAAGGGAAGAGCCAGGGTGGGAGGGTGACACAGCGCACAGGGGACTGAGCCTCCACTCTCCTCCAAGAGGTGAGCATGGCTCTGGGCAGGGGTTATAAGGTCAGGTTGTGGGTCAGAGGTGGAGCAGGGGCCAGAGGCCAGGGAGGGGCTGAGGGTTGATTCTGGAAGGAGAGGCACTTCCAGGAGGCTTCTGGGGGTGGCAGCCCAGGGGAGGCTGCAGTGGGCCTCTTGCTGTGTCCGCTTCTGCTGCTCCCCGGAGCCCCAGGCTGCAGCCCCCTGTCCCTAGCTGAGCAGGCTGTCAGCTGCTAGCCTAGCTGGAGTCCACACAGCCCCCCCCCCCCCCCCGAGCCACACAGCCCAGGTGCCATGGGAGCCTCTGGGCTTGCAACTCTGAGCAGCTTCCTGTCAGTGTAGATGGCAGTGCCCTGCCTGGTCATTGTGCCCTCTTCCCCTGTCCTCGTTCCCCTCACAAACAGCTGTGTGCTTCCTTCCCTGGACCCACCATCTCCTCCCGAGGCACACCCTGTCCTCACCCAGGGGAGCCCCTATTTCCAGCCTGATAAACTCTCTTAGTCAGAGCTGCACTGAACACTTATTTCTTCTCTTGCTCCCACATTTCCTTCATGTCCTTCATGCACTGTCATTGCCCAGTTATTTGTACTATACCTCTACCTGCTCCTAGACCTTTCTGGGGTAGGAGAAATAGTTTTCAGTTCTTGCACTGCCTCTTCCTTTTCATACAGTTGTTCTGTGTCCTCCTTTCTGGGGACCTAGGGCAATGTCTGGGGAAATTTTTGGTTATTACAGCTAGGTAGGTGATGGCTGGTGCCTCTAGCATCCAGTGAGTAGAGAGGCCCAGGTGCAGCTGACACAGGTGCAGCTCCAACCAGACACAGGTCAGGTGTCGACTACAGAGAATGATCTGGCCCTATCTACTTTACAGCTACAGGTCTCTAAGGTTAGGCTTGGAAATCGCCAGGTGCTGAGCCTTTTGGTGCCGAACTTCCACGAACAGCTATTCTTTCTGTTCCTTGGTTGGTAGAGGGAGTGGGGTGATGCCATGAAACATCCAAGACATCATCAGGAATCTGCAGAAAGATGGAAGAGGGAGAGTCGATGCTCCCCACATTTCCGAGAGTATTGGATTACAACTTTGGAATGGCTTGCTGCTTTTCCAAGATAGTACTGCTGCTGGGAAAGAGAATAGCAGCTTATTATTGGAGATGTAGCAGAATCTCCAATACAAAATGTCGTGTGTGGCGAGAGTTGAAGGCAACAGGTTTTGGAGGCTTCCTTTCCCAATTTCACTCTTAAACTTTCTTAGAATATCAGAAGAGTTCCTGTGTCAGCAAAACACTAGGTGATGATTTAGTTCAGAAAAACCAAACGTCATGCTTTTAATTTCATTTAATGAATCCTTCCTCAGGATTGTGACTCTTTCTGAGAAACCAGCTGACTCTTGTTTCCTTGGAACTCTGATCTTGGAGCTCTGTTTCTAAGTAAGCAATGAAAACACTGATGAGCATATCTAATGGCCTGACCTCTTTTTCTCCCTCTGGTCAGCTGCCTGCAGCATGGAGGAACAGAACCGCCCTCCCGGGAAGGAGCTTCAGCACAGGACACGAGCAGAGGCCTCAGGAAAGAGTAGCTGGCACACCCAGGCCTATGCTCTCGGCGCCGTCTCCAACTTCATGTCCACTTTCCTAACCTTTCCCATCTATAAGGTGGTGTTCCGGCAACAGATCCATGCTGTCGCGGTATCAGAGGCTGTGCGACAGCTTTGTCGTGAAGGCCCTCAGTACTTCTTTCGCGGAATCTACCCACCACTTCTCTCCAAGACACTGCAAGGGACTCTACTGTTTGGGATTTATGATAACCTGCTGTGCTTTTTCTCCCCGGTTGGACCACACTCCCTCAGACACCGCTGCACTGCGGGGCTCATGTCTGGTGTGGCAGAGGCTGTGATACTCAGCCCCTTTGAAAGGGTGCAAAATGTGCTCCAGGATGGTCGCAAACAAGCTCGCTTCCCCAATACGGTCAGCATCCTCAAGGAATTCAACTCCTATGGGCTTTGGGGGCGGCTGTCCCTGGGCTACTATCGTGGTTTCTGGCCTGTCCTGCTCAGGAACAGCCTGGGGAGTGCTCTGTATTTCTCCTTCAAGGACCCCATCCAAGATCGCTTGGCAAAGCAAGGCCTGCCTCAGTGGGTCCCTGCCTTGGTGTCTGGGGTTGTCAATGGATCGATCACCTGCCTGCTTCTGTATCCTTTGATTGTGCTCGTTGCCAATATGCAGTCCCATATTGGCTGGCAGAGTATGCCAAGCCTGTGGGCCTCAGCCAAGGACATGTGGGACACTCGGGGTCGAAAAGTATTCCTGATCTACCGTGGTGGCTCCCTGGTCATCCTGAGGTCCAGCGTGACATGGGGCGTCACTACTGCTATCCATGACTTCCTGCAGAGGAGGTCCCATTCCAGAAAAGAGTGGGAAGACTAGCTGCAGGAAGTATGGCTGCGGCCACTCGGTCCTTTAAGCCTTCCTAGGTTGGTCTAAATAGCTTACTTCTTTGGCTCATCTCTTAGCATCTCTGAGCTGTCATTTACAGGAGATGCTCCCGACCACCAGTCAGAAAGAGAAAGCCACCCCTGTCTGTCTAAAAACTTCAACAGCCTCTGACCCAGGTGGCCTTTAAAGAACTTAGAACCCAGCTGAAATATCATTTTCGGCAGCAACTCCTTGGCAATAAGAGGAAGCCTGAAATGACCTTGATTAGGCACTGTGAGTTCTGGGGTCCCTCCAGTTGTCCTCCAGGCCCAACTAAGTGGAAGCCCTACAAGTCCAGTTTCAAAGACCAAACCTTGGCTTGGCTGGAGATTCCAGAAATCCTCAATGATGGCTGTTTCCATGACATTGCTTACTACTGCTGCTACCGCCCCCCGCTCTCACCTGTTCAGGCATGTGGGTCCAGTTTTAGGGTAGCAGTTGTGGCTGGACATCTTAAAGTGGATTTGCTTCAGCTGTTGGGGCTGGAGGTGGAAACGGGAAGAGGTGTGGTCCCTGATGGATGAAATGAATAGACTTTGAGGGAAGAGATTTAGTTGCATGCAAAATAGAAAAATTTACTATAGGTTGCTTGGTGTTATCTGCGGGAACATTTTTGATAGCAAGGCAATAACATTGCCTAGAAACCACTTGGGTTTCCCTAAGAAACCTGGTAGTGATTTGATCATATCTCTTCACAAATAATTGCCCATTTTATTGCTGTGGATAAATATAGTTCCTGTGACATAAATTAAAGATCAGAAATCTTACCCTGTCATTCCGAGCCATGCAAAGCGCGTTCTCAGTGTGCCCTGAAGCATCGCGACTTACCTTTCCCACTGACATAGCTCCCATGCATGCATTAGCCAAACTGGACTGTCCCTTACCTAGACATGACTCCAACTTTTCCATCGCTCAGTTTTCTTTGGCCCACACTACTCTCTCCAGCTGCATATGCCAGTCTGCCAAAATCCTTCTTGTTTCTCAAAGCCCAGCTTAGATGCCACCTTCTCTATGCAGCCTCTAGGGATTTCCTACAACTGAATGTGACATTCGTCCCTCGTGGTGCCCCCTCCTTCAACACTTCATACCTGACACTGATTCCATTGTGTCACCGATCTTAAGTGGGCCTGTGTTCTTGGTGTGCTTCAAAAACTATTAGACCACAAACTTGAAAGCAGGGATGCTTGTATGCATTTTTAAATTTTCCATTGTGCCTAGGTGCTCAATAATGTTGGCTGAATTGATTATCAAACTGTGATATGGTCTTTATCCTCAGGGTGCTGTCCCTTACACATGAAGATAATGTTATTGGCTCACTGTCAACAAGACACATGCCTTTGGGATGTTATTTTGTTTTCTCTTATTAGTGAATTTAGTTTGTGCTAATGGTAATGATGCTGCTGCTGATAATAATAAAAATAATAAAAAATGATTTTCAACTGGAACATGTGTTTAGTTTTATTATTGGATGTTTGCTTTTAGTAACACTGTAAGAACTGGAATTTCACAAAAAGTAACACACTGCAAAATTGTTCCATTCCTTTCAACTCTGGCATTTTAAGGATTTCCAAGATGACATATGTTGCAGTTTTCCCCTGCCAGAATGTACCATGATAACAACCTCTCCTTGGACCTCTTTGCCAAGCCAGATATGTCATTTACAATGAATCACCTGACCATTGATCCTGAGGAGAATTCCTCACTGAACAGGACAGAAATTAAAGATGCAATTCTAGGAGGTAATAAGATCAGAGAGCATGTGCCAGCAAGGTCACCAGAAAATGGCTGGTCCAGAAGAGCTACAGATGAGTTCCCATATCTGACCCCTGTGCAGATCTGGCATAGCACTATGCTTGCGGCTTCAGGAACAGGGAACACAGATTCTGCACAAGGGAAGAAGAACTAGACCAGCAGCTACTTATATTTCCAAGGGTAACTCAGAAGGAAGAAAAAAAATCTACAAAAATTCATAAGTGGCTTATTGGTTTGCTTTTCAGGCTGAAAAGAAGGGGATAAACCACCACACCCTCCCCCACTTATTTTATTCCCAAGTTCTCTGCTCATCTCCACTGATATCACTGTCAGTTCCTGTCCCTGTATTTTACCTTAATTTCAGAAATAATTTCAGATTTAAAGGAAGGTTGTTACAGTAAAGTGAACAAACACCCGTAGACTTTTTAGCCATCTCACCTCCTGTTAGCGCTTTATCTCATATTCCTTGTGATTTGAGCACTCACACTCTATGCACACATTGTTTCCTGAACTCCCCAAGAGTTGCAATTTTCATGTTTCTAGTTTCAACATTTGAAGATTCAAATTCTTTGTATGTACAGTTTTATCTCTATGCCAATGGCACAGTTATTATAAAATATTAGGAAATGAAACCACATGGCATATTTTAAAGCGACATTGGTTGACTGCTTTACTATATTTGCCATTATAAAAGAAAATTTACATTATGTATATAATACTTGAAGCTATGTGATTATTATATGAACATGGATTTACAGTTAAAGCATGTTATAATTCAAATAATTTATTTTTACAAATTGCTTCATATAAATCAGAGAAAAATTATAAAATTATATAAGTTTTCAACTTTTTCCACTTAAATCTTTTTTGGTAAAGTTGAGCATTGTTAAATTTTTCCAATAATTTAAAATAAGTAGTTTTGTGAACTTAATGTACTCGTTTTCTCAATTTAAAAAGATGACAGTTTGGGCCCTCCCTGATGGCGCAGTGGGTTAAAGCACAGCACTAAGAAGCTAAAGCCACGTCAGCATGAGATCGATCCACACCCCGGAGGTGATCCATATGCTGTGGCAGACCTCTCTTGACCTGCCCGCTACTCCCCTCAGCAGTGTACTTCGCCATCCGGCCTGTTCTGCTCCCCACTGTCTCTGGTGAAGCCTCTTTCCACCCCTGCACCTCTGGCCTGTACCCTAGTTCTGTAAGCATAAATAACTAAATCTTAAAAGACAGCTTGACTTGAGATCAATAAAATAAGCATGTAATAGATACTTGCCTGTTTAAAACTTATAAAATGCATAATGTAACTTACGAATTTGAAAAAATAAAAATTCCAGGGTTAACATTGTGTATTTTTATCTAACTATAACCTACTTCAACTTCTCTAAGCTCAAAGTGAATAAAAAGTAGAACCATTATCACTCTTGTTGTAATTATAGGTTTGATAAGAAAATTGTGCTTTTCAGGTCCATTTTCAAACATTACATAGCATAATTTAACTACATGTTTCGGTTGACAGCATAAGGCATGCTATAATAAAGTAAACTAAATAATGTTACATGTAAGAGAAAATGGTAAGTCAGGAAAAAAGTGAAAAGTGTGAAGAAAAAAAGAGTAAGAAAAGCATTTTATTTCCCTATTCTGTTCACTCTCCAACTTCTTTTTCTTTTATACTATCTTCTTTTCCTTAATTTCTTCAATACCTTTTCTATCATACTCAGTCCCAGTTGGTGAGCTCGTTTTGTATTTCTTTAGGGAAAGAAAAGAACTGAGAGAACTGCCACTTAAGAGGCTGTCTATAAAGCCAGCCTCCTAGTGGTCACACAGGACATGAAATAGGCACCTTGCTAACATCCATTCCCTTCCCTTGCTCTCCAGATAACCAACTGATTACATTTATCCACCCATCCTGCAGGGTAATTCCCCTCTTGCATATTGTGATATCGTTTCTTTCTTTTTAGTCTTCTCCTCTTTTATTTATGTATGAATCATTTTTACAGGGGGTCACTGTATATTTGGGGTATAAAATTCACAACCCTTCAGAAGTATGTTAACCACACCACACACACCATAATTATTTTTTTTCACTCATATTGTTTGAGGTATTGAGGTGACTGTCGTTATTTCATTTAAAAAAATTGGAATACATTTACTTTTAAAACTCTGATAAAAAAAAAGATTTATTTAGTTTTGGCAAACAAGAGCTGGGGTGTAGGTCAGAGGTGTGGTGGGGCAGTGAGAGGATTCACCAGAGACAAAGTGGGAAGCAGAACAGACAGATCTACTGAAATCCACTGCTGAGGGGAGCAGCAGGTGAGGCACCAGTGGGTCAGCTCCCTGGGGGACGATCCAATGCCTGTTGCAGTGGTTGCTGATAGCTTCACAGTGCTGAGACTTAACCCGTTGCACCACCAGGGAGGGACACGTCCCCAACCCCAAAAAAAGTCTTTGTGTTTTAGAACAGTTTGAGGTTCACACCAAAGTTGAGATGAAGGTGCAGAGAGTTCCTAAATACTCCCCACTCCGGGTTCTCACACATGCACAGTCTCTCTCAGTATCAGTATCCCCCAGTCAGAGTGGTACCTTTGTCGCAACTGATGAACTTACAGTGATACATCATTATCACCCAAAGTCCATAGCTCACCTTAGGGTTCTCGCTTACTTGGTTTATATTCTGTGGGTTTGGACAAATGTATCATCACCCTATTCCACTATTATAGTTGCATACAAATTAATTTCACTACTCTCCAAATTCTCAGCGCTTCACCTGCTCACCCCACCCAATCTCTGGCAACACCTGACTTTTTACTGTCTGTATAGGTTTGCCTTTTCTAAACAGAATATAGCCTTTTTAGATTGATTTTTTTTTCACTTGGTGTTGTGTATTTCTTTCCTCCATGTATTTTCATGGCTTAATGACTCATTTCTTTGTATCTGTGAATAATACTCCATTGTCTCAAAGTATCACAGTTTACTCATCACTGTTTATTTCTGCGTGCAGGTTAATATGGACTTGATAAATAAATATGAAGGAACATAGTTGTCGAATTGTGTGGTAAACGTTTGTATGTTCAATCTTATAGGAAATTACTTAATATTTTTCCCGAAGTGGCTGTAGTGTTGCTTTGTGTTCCCACCAGCAGTGAATGTGAGTTCCTACTGTGCTACACCCTTGCCAGCAATTGGTGGTGTCAGTGTTTTGGGCGTTCGCATAGGTACATAGCAGTTTCTCATTGTTGCTTTGTTGGTTCACTTTTACTGTTGCATAGATCACTGTGTGACTCTGTCACGATCTACACGATCTACCGTGCTAACTTTGAGGGACATCCTGGTGCTCCCAGTATTTGACTGTTTGAAACAGTTTGTAATGAACACTCTTGGCAGTGTATTTAAAAGCATTTGTCGCTAGGATATTTACCTAAAAGTTGAATTGCTGGTTTATCGGGTTATAAATTTCAACGTTCAAAGTTACTATTGAATAGATTGTGTCTAACTTTTCTTAATGGCAGGGTACTAATTTCCATCGATATTAGCGGTGTTTACTCGTGTCCATTGCTCCACCTGCTGGCCAGCATAGGTATGATCAAACTTTTAATTTAATTAATTAATTTTTTTAATCTAATAGAAGTTTTTTCCCTCACTCAAAGTCCAATGGGAAGAAGGGAACCAGTGGAAGGGACAGGATGGCGTTCAGGACACTACTCCACCAAGAATTAAGTTTCATGGAAATTCTGTCTTCTTTAGGCTTCCAGGATTGTCAGTAGAGACTGATTTTCTGATAGACACAATAGGAAAGTAAACAAAAATAATGACGGAGATTCTAATCATGGTGCTCCTCAAAGTTTTGCGATACTATCCATAATATCTAACATATATTTTCCTGGATTTTTATTACTTGCTTATTTTTTTTTAATGCCAGGAATAAAGAGCTTTCTCAGGAATAGCATGATAGTAAGTTTCTTATAGGTTTTGTTTTAAGAGAGAGTATGCGCTTTGAGGCGGAAGGAACAGAGTTATATGCGTTGATCCTTCATATTAATGTGCCAATATATGACATATTTAACAGTGTAATATAACATTATGTGTAAAGAGTCCAAAAATTCATCAAGTTTTCAAAAAGTAAACAGTACACCTTAAACAAATTATTATGTTAATGAATTGTGGGACAGAGCACAGAAAAGTTCAAGATATCTACATCTAATTGCCTCCTTTATATTTTCCCTAAAGTATCTTATAGACTTTTTAAACTTAATATGTCAAAGTCTTCGGTCTTTATTCTCTCTGCACATATGTCCCTGGTCTTCCCACTCCTAGTGCTAACATCATTTTTTAAATGTTATAAATAGTCCTAACATTTAGGAATCTTAACTCTTTCATTCACCACTGTACATTCAGTGGCCACAAGAGCAACTCACACATAGTAGGTGCTCAATAAGTTGTACAATGAATTGTTCCTGCCGCCAAGATATATTTGATTGAAAGTTATCCAACAAAACACATGAAGTAGGATACAGGGGGAAAAAAGTCAAAAGATTTCTGTCCTCTCTTTTCCACCATTAGACTCAGTGCCCTTATTTAGCCTCTTATCATTTTATACCTGAATAACTAGCACAATCTTTGTTTTTAAAGATTTATTTATTTATGTGTACAAAACTGGGGTGCAGTCCAG